AGAACCTATTGAATTCAATAGCAGTGTCAGAGGCTGAAAGCACACCATCGTCATTGGATATGAGTATTGGTTTTTATTCAAAATCTTGTTTTGCTCCTAATATTTTGGACACAGTGCTCCATGTTTTATTAATGTTGCCCTTAATTTGATTAAATTTATTTTCGTAGTATTTTGGCTCTCCTAATTATTTTAGACAGCATTGATGAGTAAATCTTTGAAACTTCTTTGGAGACGACTCCTAACCTATACTTCTTCTCATGGTCATGTTTTTTATTAATAGATTTAAGATTAAGATTATAAATATTTATTATAAATAATCAAATATTATAAGATTTTTATTAATAGATTTAATCCTTTGTAAGCCATGGATTGTTTAGCCTTTTAGTTGTGACTTGTTTCATTAGCATTGGATAGTGGGTGTTATAGAGGCTCAGAGTTTTCTGAAGAAATCTTTGCACTGTTAGGTTGATGCTCACTATGTTACCTAATTCAGTTTCCAAGTTGATATTAGCATCAGCAGCAATAAAGTTGCTTATAGAAGTTTCACTGAGCAGCCTAAAGTTTATCTTCATTGTATCTAGAGGTGGTTTATTAATGTTGGTTAGGAGAAATGTGGGGTAATGGTCTGTGATCCTATCAGTGATTATCCCTGAAGTAAGAGGAGAGGTTTTTATATATCCAGTTTAATTCATCCATATATAGTAACCCATAGCCAGTTTGAAGCACTAGGTAGGAAACTATGAGGATGAAATTAGGTACTTTTTGCTTGTACTTTTGAATAATGCGTAGGTTGGACAGCTTTTTAATTCATTAGGAAGTGAGTTCCATAGACTGGGTCCCTTGATTCAGATTCAGATTCAGATTCAGATTCAGATGTTTATTCAGGTAAGGTATATACATACAAGTGATGTTAAATTAATGGATTGATATATAGATAGAGCTAGTACATACAATGCCTAAAGCCACTATTACGCAATGCGTTTCGGGCAAGAAAAACATTAATATCTAGAACTTAATACTAATTGAGCATAAAGAATAAAAGATGTTGAGAACAAATACAAATAAAGATAAAAAAAAGGGGGAACATGACTGAAAAAGCAGCACAAATACAATAGGTTGACAAACAGTGTTGATTAAAAAAAAAGAAAAAAAAAAAAGAAAATAACAGACATGGGTTGACAATAGAGGAGTGAGGTAGATTACAGGGAATTTATTAGGTAGTGTTTAGTTTTTATCTTAAACTGGTTGAGAGAGGTACAGTCTTTAACATGGTTGGGAAGGTCATTCCACATTCTGGGCCCCTTGATTTGCAGAGCATTTCTAGTTTGATTAAGACGTACTCTAGGAATATCAAAACTGTATTTATTTCTGGTGTGGTGCTCATGGGTTCTGTTACAACCTTCTATGAAGCTTTTAAGATCAGGATTGGCATTATAGTTTAGCGTTTTATATATGTATAATACACATGAGAGAATGTGCAGTGACTTAATATCTAACATATTAAGAGATTTGAGTAGGGGTACCGAGTGATGTCTGGGGCCAGAGTTGGATATTGTTCTAATAGCGGCTTTGTGTTGGGTAATTAGAGGACGTAAGTGATTTTGGGTAGTAGAACCCCAAGCACAAATACCATAGTTGAGATAAGGATAGATAAGGGAGTAATAGAGAGTCACCAGAGCAGGGCGTGGTACATAATATCTGATCTTAGAAAGAATGCCCACAGTTTTTGAAACTTTTTTTTATATATTTAGAATGTGTCCCTGGAAATTCAGCTTGTGGTCAATGAGAATGCCAAGGAATTTGCCATCTAATTTGTTACAAATTTGGGTATTGTTTATTTTGAGATTTATAAGACTAGAGGATTTATTGCCAAACAGAATATAGAAGGTTTTGTCAATGTTAAGGGTGAGTTTGTTGGCAGTTAGCCAAAGATGGACTTTATTTAGCTCAGTATTTACTGTGGCATTTAGAGCAAGAGGGTCATGCTCAGGACTGGAGTAAATGAAGGTTGTGTCGTCAGCAAATAGAATTGGTTTGAGGTGTTGGGAGGCATTTGGAAGGTCATTAATGTAGATGAGAAAGAGGAGAGGGCCAAGTATGCTGCCCTGAGGAACACCAATGTTGATGGGTAGGGTGGGAGAAATTGTATTATTCACAGAAACATATTGGAGCCTGTCAGTAAGGTAGGACTCGAGGTATTGTAGGGAGTGTCCTCTGACTCCATAATGATGTAATTTAAGAAGAAGGTTATGGTGGTTGACAGTATCAAAAGCTTTCCGCAGGTCCACAAATAACCCAACAGGGAGCTCCTTTTTATCAAGGGCTGTATGAATCGAGTTAAGCATACTAATAAGTGCATCGTTAGTGCTTTTTTTGGGTCTGAAGCCATATTGGCAAGGGCTAAGTATATTGAGTTTGGCTAGATATGAGTAAAGCTGCTTGTATATAAGTTTTTCAAAAATTTTTGACAAGTTTGGCAGGATTGATATAGGTCTGTAGTTGTTAACATCTGAGGGGTCACCACATTTGTGGACAGGCGTTACTCTCGCTTTTTTTAGAATATCTGGAAAGGTTTGGAGTTCAAGTGACTTGTTGAAAAGCAAAGCAATAGCAGGGGCTAAAGATCTGGAGGCTTTTTTGTAAATTAAAGTTGGTATCTCCTCAAGGGCACCAGACTTGGTTTTAAGGGAAAGGATTATCTCATTGACGTCAGTGGAGTTAATAGGCTTTAGGTACAGAGACTGTGGATAGTTACCTGTAAGATAGTCCTTAATGTCAGTACTGGAAGATGGAATATCATTTGCAAGGGATGAACCAATGGAAGAGAAGAACCTATTGAACTCAATAGCAGAATCAGAGGCTGAAAGCTGACCATCGTTATTAGACAGGAGAGTCGGTTTGTTATTTAAAGATTTCTTTGATCCCAATATTTGTGAAATTGTGCTCCAAGTTTGTTTAATGTTGCTCTTTATTTGAGTAAATTTATCTTCGTAGTAATTAGTTTTGGCTCGTCTAATTATCTTAGTTAGCAATAATGAGTAATTCTTTGAGAATTCTTTGGAGACAATTCCTAACCTATACTTCTTCTCAAGGTCGTGTTTTTTGTTAATGGATTTCAGTATTCCCTTTGTAAGCCATTTGATTTGTAAGGTGCTTACACAGATTTAGTTTGACTCTGGGGATATCAAAGATATATTTATTTCTGGTGTGGTGATTATGGGTTCTGTCAAATCTCTCAAGGAAGAGTTTCAAATCAGGATTTCCATTTAGGAACAAGGTTTTGTATATGTAAATGGCACAAGAGCCTGTGTGAAATGAGTTTATTTTTAGCATGTTTAGGGATTTAAACAGAGGGGCTGTGTTGTCTGAAAACCGAAAACATACTTAATGTATGTACTGTTATCTAAATAAATTATTATTATTACTATTATTATAACCAAAAGTAAGTTAATAATGAGTCTCATTAGTAAAACCAAATCAAAGGACTCGGTAGGGTCATTTAAAGATGAGATTAACCAATTATAAAGGACGATGACAGGGCAGCAAACACTCCGAATAAATACTTTACATCATTGTTCACACTAGAAAGATTAGACGACACCCCATTGCCCACACACATGTTTGAAGGAGGGGAAGGATAACGAATTAAGGGCTATACTCAGAATGTGCGACATAATTAGGAAAGGAAGGGAAGGGAACTATCGAGAGAAAGCGCCAAGCCATTATGACACTATAGTAGGCTCCATCCCACACTGGGCACAAACGAAGTCCGATTCTGGTCTGTCTTCCAGGCTACCGAGAATGTGTGGAGTAAGTTTATGCACCTGGAAGGGGCTCTTTATGAGCACTTGGAAGGGGCTCTTAGGATAAGAACTTGGGATGGGACGGGGGAAAGCCAACAACTTGGACGGTTGGGAATTGAACGCCGACCTGCATAAAGAGAGACCGTCACTCTACCGTCCAGCCCAAGTGGTTGGGCATGACCAGGAAGTGAACTTAAAATTAAAATAAAAATAAAAATTAAAAGACTCAAATGCCCCCAGGTGTAAATGGACTTAAATCCATATCCCCGAAATCCCCCAATCTGCCCGAAACGCTGCGCGTACTAGTGGCTTTACAAGAGTGTAAATACTTACAAGAGTGTAAATATTTACTATCTAATGTATTCTCACAAACCCAATGTACCTTCTTGTATATATATAAATAAATAAATAAATAAATAAATCCCGTATCAGAAAAGGTTGAGGGCCACAGGGCTAACAACATAGCATACCAGGCATGACATGGCACATGGCGGATCTCATCGAAACTTTTAAAATTCAGAACAATTTGGAGGATATTAATCCAGACAACTTCCTTAAAAGGTCGGATGGAACACAAACAAGGAGCTACGGTTTCAAACCCAACAAGCTACATTACAGGACAGAAAACAGGAGATTCTTTTTCACCCATTGGGTTATAACCCCATGGAACCGCTTACCCGCTCGCTGTAATTGCCAAGTTTCCCTCACTTGCCTTGATAATTTTTTCAAGGTATATTTTAAAACTTAATCTATAAAAGTATATAAGTGAGAGCCTTAAATTGTTTGACCTAAATTTTACAGAACAGGTTATCTTACCTGAGAGCTACTAACACTAGTGGCCTCGACGAGGACAGGAAGCCGGCAGCTTGTCAAAGGTTCCCCCCATTTGCCTTGATCTTCAAATCCTGGTTATCTTGCCAAGTAAGATATATCTAGTAATTGCGTACTATTCGTACCTATTCAGAGATTCAGTAATAAGACTGTATGGCTTGTTTAGTTTGTCAAATGCTTTTGAAACATAAAGATAAAGCAGGTAGAGTTCGAACTGCAATGTGAACATCAGTACTGTACAGAGTTTCCTTTACTAAGAAACTGAATACCGTCTTAAAGTCTTGCTAGTTGGTCAGTGACTATTGTGATTGCCATAGTAACTTTCACGCAGGTGATATGCCTTAACTCCAACTCCAACCCGAAAATGACTTGCGTCAGAGATTCAAAATATGGCGGGGTAGGCCTGGTCGGGAGATGGCAGCACCCGCACCACCACCACAACACTACGCCATTGTCGCTCCGCTTGTCTAGGACTCGCTCCTTTCTCCTTCACTCGCACCCGTCTTGACACGTGAGTACACGTTCACCAACCTGTCCTGCGTTACCACCAGGTGAGGACGTGGGTCTTCCACCCTCCCCAGCTGCTGGGGAACCTGCCACAAGTGTAACAACACCAGACAGGGTAGATGGGGGGCAGCCAAGCCTCGCTCACTTTCAACAGCTGGAAGGTCATTTTAGATATGGATGGATCTCTGGAGGCATTACTCCTCGGTGTAAAAATATATCTGGAGGAGCAATATTCCTCGCCGTGATGAAGTACCTGGAGGGACGTAAATGTCTGAAGAAGGATCGGTAGTTCAGTCTCCTTTTTTTATAGGTTGTGGACAAACCTTTGCGTATCAAAATACTACAACTTCTTCGCGATACTTTCAGTTTGTATGAAGGTTTTTTCTTCTGATGACCACCTATCAAAATACGTATTGATGAGGCAACTGAAAGGTCGTTATTGTATAATGTGGGGTAGCTGAAGGGTCATTATTGTATAATGTGGGGCAACTGAAGGGTCGTTATTGTATAATGTGGGGCAACTGAAGGGTCGTTATTGTATAATGTGGGGCAACTGAAGGGTCGTTATTGTATAATGTGGGGCAACTGAAGGGTCGTTATTGTATAATGTGGGGCAACTGAAGGGTCGTTATTGTATAATGTGGGGTAACTGAAGGGTCGTTATTGTATAATGTGGGGGTAACTGAAGGGGCGTTATTGTATAATGTGGGGTAGCTGAAGGGTCGTTATTGTATAATGTGGGGGTAACTGAAGGTCGTTATTGTATAATGTGGGGCAACTGAAGGGTCGTTATTGTATAATGTGGGGCAACTGAAGGGTCGTTATTGTATAATGTGGGGCAACTGAAGGGTCGTTATTGTATAATGTGGGGCAACTGAAGGGTCGTTATTGTATAATGTGGGGCAACTGAAGGGTCGTTATTGTATAATGTGGGGCAACTGAAGGGTCGTTATTGTATAATGTGGGGCAACTGAAGGGTCGTTATTGTATAATGTAGGGCAACTGAAGGGTCGTTATTGTATAATGTGGGGCAACTGAAGGGTCGTTATTGTATAATGTGGGGCAACTGAAGGGTCGTTATTGTATAATGTGGGGTAACTGAAGGGTCGTTATTGTATAATGTGGGGGTAACTGAAGGGTCATTATTGTATAATGTGGGGGTAACTGAAGGGTCGTTATTGTATAATGTGGGGTAACTGAAGGGTCGTTATTGTATAATGTGGGGCAACTGAAGGGTCGTTATTGTATAATGTGGGGTAGCCGAAGGGTCGTTATTGTATAATGTGGGGTAGCCGAAAGGTCGTTATTGTATAATGTGGGGTAACTGAAGGGTCGTTATTGTATAATGTGGGGGTAACTGAAGGTTATTGTATAATGTGGGGTAACTGAAGGGTCGTTATTGTATAATGTGGGGTAGCTGAAGGGTCGTTATTGTATAATGTGGGGCAACTGAAGGGTCATTATTGTATAATGTGGGGTAGCTGAAGGGTCGTTATTGTATAATGTGGGGCAACTGAAGGATCGATGTTATATAATGTGGGGCAACTGAAGGGTCATTTTTGTATAATGCGGTGCAACTGAAAGCTCGTTACTGTATAATGCGGGGCAACTGAAGGCTGGATATTGTATAATGCGGGGAAACTGAAGGCTGGATATTGTATAATGCGGGGCAACTGAAGGCTCAATGTTGTATAATGTGGGGCAACTGAAGGCTTGTTACTGTATGATGCGGGGCAACTGAAGGCTGGATATTGTATAATGCGGGGCAACTGAAGGCTGGATATTGTATAATGCGGGGAAACTGAAGGCTGGATATTGTATAATGCGGGGCAACTGAAGGCTCGATGTTGTATAATGTGGGGCAACTGATGGCTCGCTATTGCTTAATGTGGGGCAACTTGAAGCTCTTATTTTGTATAATGTGGGGTAAGGAGGCTTGATATTGTGTAATGTGGGGCAACTTGAGGCTCATTGTTGAATAATGTAGGATGACTGGAGCTCATTACTGTATAATGTGGGGCACCTGTAGATCATTATTGCTACAGGTGCCTATTGTGCTTATTGTGGGATAACTGGAGGCTCATTATTGTATAATGTAGGGTAATTGGAGGCTCAATTGTATAATGTGGGGCACTTGTAGGCTCATAGTTGTGTGATGGTCTCCTGGAGGCTCACTGTTGTATAATGAGGGAGGCACCTGGAGGCTCACTGTTGTATAATGAGGGAGGCACCTGGAGGCTCACTGTTGTATAATGAGGGGGGCACCTGAAGGCTCACTGTTGTATAATGAGGGAGGCACCTGGAGGCTCACTGTTGTATAATGAGGGGGGCACCTGAAGGCTCACTGTTGTATAATGAGGGAGGCACCTGGAGGCTCACTGTTTGCAACAGAAATCTACAACTAGATTTGTGTTTAGGTGTACTGGAGGCTGATTATTTCAATATTTTATTACATAGAGATGTAGTATTTAAATTAATTTTCATGTATTTCAGTATTGGAGATATTCATAGTGATTAATTTTTCACAAATTTACCCATATTATATAGCATACTGTATTACATAGCAAGTAGCTTCAGAGCATAAAATTAGGATTGTCATGCTTATATTGACAACAAAACCTGTGTCCTATATAAAAGTTTAAACAAACTTTATATTATCTATGTTTGCATAGATTTTATATATATATATATATATATATATATATATATATATATATATATAATATATATATATAAATAATAAGAATAGCATTGTTACAACAGATTAGAATAGCACTGTTACAAAATACAGTACAGTACTTTACTGAATGTTTATCATTGTAAAGTAATGGCATTTATCGGCACCACATGTCACTGTACAGGTATTATCGTAGCCACTCATGCATCACTTGTGCAAAGAAATGTACTGGCACTACAGGTATACTGTGAGGTATCAATATCATTATACTATAAACACAATCTATGATCATAATTGCCAAAGGATTTGAGGATGTATTTTTTTATTATATGTACCTTGGAATAGGGACATTGGTTTTTTGTTTTCTCAATTTTATTACATTACTAATGTGAAAAGTGCTCTTTATATTCACAATAAAAAATCCTTATTTTTTTATTATTGTAGATAAATTAACATTCAGTATTGTGTAAAAAAAAAAAAAAAAAAAAAAAAGTACAAGACCATAAGTGTTCCAATATACAAAAAAATCTCCATAAATATTAATAAATTTACCAGTGTATTTTATGAATTTTATTTGCAATAATGACTGAATTCTGCCAACATTTTTCTCCTGTATATTAATTTTTTTCTTCTTTTACCTATTCAATAATTATGTATTTACTTTTAAATTTCAAATTAAAAAGATTAAAATTAAATTATGTTAAATTTTTTTTTTAAAAAGTATGTGCATGTGTGTGTGTGTGTATATATATATAATTATATATATACACATACACTAATATATATATATATATATATATATATATATATATATATATATATATATATATATATATATATATATATATATATATATATATATATATATATATATATATATATATATATATATATACACACACACATATATACATACACTAATATATATATATACTGTATACAGTATATATTTATATATATATATATATATATATATATATATATATATATATATATATATATATATATATATATATATATAATATTATGCGTACTGTATAAGCATTATACTGTAGATTGAAAACATTAGGTGACTGAAATCCAGGCCTCTGTGAGTGTTCATTTAGGAACTAATTCAGGGCAGAGACTCTGTATAATGATTGAGAATAATGTTTCTAAAATATTTTCTAATTAAGAGGAGGCAAGTATGATGTACAGTACTGTGCATTCAGTACACGTGTTTGTTTAACCTTTAAACTGCTCAGCATAAGGGGGTATAATTCGAAAAATATTAGTTATGTCAACCTTACTTAAAAATGTTAAACAAATCTCCAACTTATTGGCTTCAGCGTCATGAAACTTTCATCAAAATATTTTCAGAAATTGATTTTAGACGAATATTTAAAAAAAAAATGCTTTGTTGATAAGGAGAGCAGCTATTAACTGGAACTGATAGATAATGCAATAATAAAGAGATGCAAGTACTTGTACGATGCACAAAGAAGAATAGTAGTAAGAATTGACCACAAAGTGGATATACAGCTGGTGTCTTTATAGCATTGGTGAGTAATACATAATCAATATTATTTGTTATTAAGTATGTTATTATGCTCTATTTTGTTATATATCATATAAATACATTGCCCAATGTTGTTTTCAGTTACTTTCAACAATGTCCAAAAGATAATTTTTTTTTTAGGTTTTAGTTTTTTTCCTCCTTTGTTTATTATTTGAATTTGTTGTAACCTTTACATCCTGGAGAATGAATACCTGTCCCTAACTACCCGTCCCTAACTATGTGAAGACAGAATTAAATTGATCAACAAATAAATCAGTCACGAACAAATCCACAAGGGCCGTGATGAGGATTCGAACCTGCGTCTGGGAGCATCCCAGACACTGCCTTAATTGACTGAGCTACGACAGGGTTAAAAAGAGTTGTAACCGAAGTTCTACTGAACTTGCTGGATCCCGCAGCCTCTCCGAGGCACAAACCAGGGTTTTACACAACTCCCTTCCCCCCTGCACTCGAGCTATGTCAATAGTCCTTGTGTAATGATGTAAGGGCGAAGAGGGGAAACGGCCTATTGACATAGCTCGAGTGCAGGGAAAGCATTCATTTAGGCCCCTTAACTCGACGTTTGGAGTTGTGTAAAACCCTGGTTTGTGCCTCAGAGAGGCTGCGGGATCCAGTAAGTTCAGTAGAACTTCGGTTTCAACTCTTTTTAACCCTGTTGTAGCTCAGTCGATTAAGGCAGTGTCTGGGATGCTCTCGGACGCAGGTTCGAATCCTCGTCACGGCCCTTGTGGATTTGTTCATTGGATGCATCACGTTAGTGTGATTTCTG